CAACAACAATGAACTCGCCACCATCCAAACTCTTAATATGGTGGGGTTTGCCTCAGCTCCTGAATTCCTTGTGGATTAAATTCATATTGAATCTCCTACTTAATCCTGTTAAGGAAGAATTTTCATTATAAACCATCAATTTACCTACTCTTAGCATAATCCTCTAGAGTCATCACTGCTTTACAGAATTGGGATCGCTTAAATTTAAAATCGTATCGTCTAAAGTTTAAAAGCATCTTGTTTTACTGTTGCTAAGCAAGCATAATTCAGTGTAGACGATTTGTATTCTATTCTCCCACCCAAATTCCTCCAGACTCACAAGAAAATCCTTGCTGTGGCTGTTATTGGCCATTTTTATCTTTTGAAAATTTCCTATATGCGTTTTGAATTTACATCATTCCCCTTCCCATTGCTCCAGTCCATTCCGCCTGTGTTCCTCACACTCCTAAACTTCAAGCCCTCTCATTTTTTAACAATTGTTTTACACACATACACACACACACACACACACACACACACACACACAAACACACACACACACATACACACACACACACACACAAACCTGTTACAATTTCCAGCTCTTGAAAACAAGACATGATGGTTGTGTACATGTGTAATCTTTGAAATTATTTTGTAAAATTTGTGCTATAGTCAACTGGGGAATAGGGCATGAAAATATAACTAAGAGACAAAATCAACCATAAGAACAGGTTCCCTTTGATCTTTATTATCTGAGTTTTGAGGTTTATTGACTGTTTTCTCCACTTTTATGTTTAAATAAACATTTGTACCATCACAACTTAAGAAGTAGTACAATTTGGAAACTCTACTGATAACCTTGATATCTGTGAGACTAAGGACAACCTACTGGGACAGCTTCAGGCTGCTCTTCATTTCAGAAAAGAATTTGGTATATATAGGTGTATGGTAAATAAAATAAAATTAAAATTCCTTCTACACCCAATGAAATACAGTGTCTTCAGGTGTGTAGCATCATTTCCATTGAATCACTGAGCACTGGAAGTGCTTGTATTTGCTTCTTTCACACTGGTGAGGCAGCTCCCATGAGCCTAAGCATGCATTTGCAGCATCCGCACTGATGAATGTTATTAGATACAGGACGGGAAGTGTTAGTGACAGGATCAGTTTCCAAATGGTCTTCAGCAATGAGAAAGCATTACCGTTTGTTCCTACTGAGTCTCCCTTCTGTATACTCCCTTCTGTTACTTTCATCAAGTTATTACCTAAATGCAGTGGCCAGTGACCAGGCCCTGCCCTTGAATCATCACTTCTAATTCAAACCAAAACAGGTTCCTGGTAACTTGCTGTCTCCATTCTCTCACCAATTCTGGACGCCTAATTCTGGACGCCTTTCTCCATTTTCCCGTGTCTCTGTGTTTCCATATTGCTGTTTTTCAATCAATTCAGTGGCTGCCCCTTCAACAACTGTCATCCTAATCACCAACTGCAGCTCTGCAGCTACCAGCAGCGGTTCGGTCATAAGGGCCACAGCCTGCGGGAATTCTGTTCCCTCACACACCAGCTCTCTCAAAGCCACTAAAGGAAACCTTATCGAAATCTCTACCCATCTATAGAACTTAATAATAGACCAGAAAGGAGAAAAAGCCTTAAGTTGCAAGAACTGACATGACGACTCAGCAGGTAAAAGTGCATGCCGCGCATTCCAGACCAATATAATTGGATCCCCAATTCTATCCTCAGTACCCATGTTAATGCAGAAAGAGAACACAGACTGCAAGGAGCTGTCTTCCAACACATATATTATACACACACATGTTCAAACAATACTAAATAAAAATAAAATTTTAAAAGTCTTTTAAAGTTTCAAGATATCATACTACCTTATGAGAACATAAATTGATTCAACATAATAGTTTACCTATCGGGAAATAGTTTATCTAAACTTAGGATAAATATACAAAGGAGTCATTGCAAACTCTGGAGTTTTTTTTTAACCTATCTGTGTTATAGGACCTAGAGAGTAATTTAAGCATATAAAACCAATTGTGTAACTATCCAAATAACATTTATATGCTGCTAGAGCCACAAAGAAGCCAGATTGTGACATAATTGAGCAACACACAGTTCAGTACTCATACAGCAAACTTTATTGACAAGTGTACTTGGCTCTAGAGACACCCATAAAGCCATAATTGAATATATTGTGATCAATGCCTTGAAATTTAGAAGCAGCAGTGGTGAAAACAAAAACATGCTTGCCTACAGTTCTGCTATTGCACACTTGACTAACGGGTTTAGCACTGTGAATTTGGATTTAGAAGATAAAAACGCTACATTTGATGCTCTGTAAGGTCCCAGCTTATATCTGTTTACCTCCACTTCCGTGGTCTTTATGCGACTATCAACACCACAGTTTGTATCTGTTTGGACATTGCCAACAACCAGAATATCCAGAGATATGAAAATGCTACCTGTTTCTTTTAGCCCCCCATAGACAAGGATTTTTCATTTTTGTTCAAGTATGAATGATTTTAACTTCTTTAAACTTCAAATTTTCCATAAAATCTACCTCGTGGTAAAACTTATTGAGGAGGTTATTTTAGGTCTTTAATGTACACATGATAAAGTGCCTGTCTATAGTTAGTAATAAGCGATCAAGAAAGTGTGGGGTGTCACCCACTGATACAAGGGGACTGGTCGGATGGGAGCTCACCAAGGCCAGCTGGACTGGGACTGAACGAGCATGTGATCAAACCGGATTCTCTGAATGTGGCTGACATGGGGGCTGACTGATCCCCCAAGGTTCAAATGAAGACTGAGAAGCCATTGACAATGGCACTGGGTCTTGTTTCGTCTGCATGTACTGGCTTTTTGGGATCCTGGCCTGTTTGGATTCTCACCTTCCTGGACCTGGAGGGAGGGGGGAGGATCTTGGATTTCCCACGGGACAGGAAACCCTGACTGCTCTTGGGAATGGTGAGGGAGGAGGAGAGAGAGTGAGGGGAGCAGGAGGGTATTGGGAGGAGGGGAGGAACTGGAAAGAGTGTTTTCACATACTTGAATAAAAAAATCGGAAAAAAAACTGTAGTTGGGATATAATGTACGAGAGAAGAATAACACAAAGAATAAAAAAATTGTTGTAGATCCTAAGAACAATAAAAAAAAAAGAAAGTGTGGGGTGAACTTTAAGCAGCTTTTCACTTCAACTATGCATTACGTTATCTTTTGGGGTTCTTCTCGTTTTCTTAACCAACTGTACTATTTTTATAATCATGTTTTCGTATTTTTATTTTCAAGCTTCAATAATGTATAATTGATACAGCCGTATGTGTGTGTGTGTGTGTTATATACACTGAACATGAAAACTTAACACATTTTCAAGTTCCTAATTTCACTTAGTACTATAGTTGCTATGCTATACAGATCTTTAGGATGCCATTTCTTGCATAAATGAAGCTTTATGCCAAGTAGAATTAATTACCACTTTTCTTCACCCTTCACTATTCCATCCTCTGCTTCTATGAATTTAACTTTTTGATGCTTCATATCTGTATTCTCTTGCAACAAAGTCAACCACAGGTAGGCAAATAGGATATTTGCATATAAGATTCTTACTTATCACACATACTGAATTAAGCATATTGTTTTAGGCAAGTTGCAACTAATGTTAATATTAATAGTAGTTTATAATTTCCAAAATATCTACCTAAAATCTGAAATTAGCCTAAAAATCACATAAACAATAAACACTTGCATTATCCTTACTCTCAAAGCTGCAATGGTTAGTATGTATGTGTGAGTATGTGTGCATGCATAAGCCAATACTGTGATATTTTCTCTTTATCAATATTCATCCCAAACCTGAGGTATAATCTCTAAAAAACAGAAATATATAAACTTATATTTGCATCGCACAAAATGGACCACAGTTAAAATGATACAAAAATATATTTTTTACTAGTGGAAACATGAGTTAAGTTGATTTTATAAATATTATTTTCTTCTCTAATCACTAGCCAAAATCTGGCAAGGAACCATATTTTATTCAATTTAAAGCTGAACTTGTTTTTCTGAGATACATGGTTGCACTATCCACACTGCAGGAATAAAATGACTTTTCTTCACATATTGAGAAATTCCCAAAATCCAGAGTAGATCCACAGTAACCACGTGGAAACATGCTCTTTGAGCTGCAAGTTCACCTTCCCAATCTAGGTTGCGGCTGATTATGAATTTTCTCATGATGCAATAGAAACTCAACTTATTGAATAATATAAAAGCCAAACCTCTACTCAGCTTGGCATAGTCACCCCAGCTGAATCCTGAATTCTTTTGCTCCTTTGAGAATGTTGACCACAGCCTTTGCATGAAGTTCTCTCTCCATGTCATGCATCTAGCTGTTATCCATGTTACCTAACCCTAATTTTCTATGAAAAAATTAAGTCAACAGAGGCATAAAAGAAATGATAATTGGTGACTAGAGAATAACTTAGTGGCAAAGCACTTTCATGGCCAAGGGCAGTGAGACCCATGCTTGACTATTGATCCTGACCAAAAAAAAAAAAAAGAGGCAGAGAGAGAGAGAAGCGGGGGGAGGGGGAGCTGCTGTGGTAACAAGCCTGTATTTTCAGGCATTCATTGAGTACCATTTCAGTTCCATCCAGCAGACATTTATGAATTCAGATAGTGTTGTTGGCACGGCACCAAGTAATCAATACTTCCACTTATATGATTTCCATTGATCCTGACTGCACCCCTAAGGCGTGAATGTTCCTATTTCTATTTTAAAAATAATGAGGCTGAGTTCCAAATGGTTAAGCAAGTCTCAGAATAGGATTTGACCCCAGATCTGCCAATGCCTGAGACAGGGCCACAGTTCTCCATCTGTGCTACCTCTAAAACCAAAATCCTTATCAATTCAGGTTCTGAAGCCCATCCATTAAAGCACCTTTGAAGTTCCGTTTTAATTCCAATAGTGAAGGAAATGACAACACACTCTTCTTTGTTTCACCTAGGTATATGGCCATTATCGACCCTTTGAAACCCAGACTGTCTGCCACAGCCACCAAGATTGTCATTGGGAGTATTTGGATTTTGGCGTTTCTACTTGCCTTCCCTCAATGTCTTTATTCCAAAATAAAAGTCATGCCAGGACGTACTCTTTGCTATGTGCAGTGGCCCGAGGGTCCCAAGCAACATTTCACGTAAGTCTACTCTCCTTGACAATGTTTGACTCAGTCTATCAAACACTTAGGAAAATGAAGCTGGGGGGAAGGAATTATACAGTTAGGACCCAGTCATTCACTTGCTATACTACTTGGGGAGAGAAATATAAAAACACGCTGCAATCTGATATGCTGGTTTGTAAAACTACAAAGGTTTTTAATTGGAGAAGTGATGAGCTCTGTTGGAGAAGCACTAGCGTTTCCTACATGGGGTGGTGAAAGCTGGGAGCAACACGCCAGGGACAGCAGGGTGTTATTGACCGAGGAGCTAGAAGTGGGAACCAATGCCCAGTGTGTTGATTGCTCTTTTAGGAAGCCTGGCTGCAGTGGAAGGAAGTCCTGGCAGGTGTTTTATTTTTGTTTTGTTTTCATATGTTTGTATTTGTTCATTTCAGCATGAAAAGTCCTGGCCACTAAATTAAAAAAGAAATAGATATGCCATTTGATAGAATTGGGATTTCATGTTTTAGACCTAACTTGAAAAAAGTAATTGTTTAATTTGATTTTTTTTCTGTTCCTGTAAATTTCAATGAACTTGTTTGTTTTCCTATCATTGATGACATTTAAAAATAATAAATGTTGCCAGGAACTATTAATTTTTTGAGACAAGGTCTCTCTATGTAGCCCTGGTTGGCCTTGAACTCCAAGAGATATGCCCCCTCTACCTCCCAAGGGGTCAAAGAACTATGCAGCCATGCCTGGCCTGCAGCCACCTCTTCTGTAGCTATTTTATCCAACTCTGCTCTCCCAAAAGTGCCCAGACGTATTTTTAAGGTAATAAGAGATAGTTTATTCTGGAGCCATTTTGAGTGACCATGACCCATGAACACAGATTTAGGATACTCTAAATTCTATATTTCAATGTGGAAGAAGTCTCATTAAGTTCTATGGAACAGAAAAAGGCACAAATCAAGACAACTTTAAAATATGTTGGTGGGTACATCAGAAAGACGGATACAGAAAGGTGGGGGAAAGTTTTCTATAGGCCTAGGATGCTATCTGACGACATCCTTAGTTTTCAGGCCTGTGGAAGCTAGTGGCCTGCTAAGGTACTAGATTCCAACTCATTTTCATCTATTGGTAAAAAGATATTAGTTCAAACAGAGGTGGGCAAGGAATGCCTGTCTAGAGGACAAGAACTGGAACAAAATCAGACCTGACTTCTTTTAGAAATCTTCATTTCCAGTTTTCTCCCTTGGCCAAGTGGGAGGTACTACTAAAGAGAAACCATGTCTGGTTATTAATCTGTGCCATAACTACCTATTATTATGAATAATCTTACGTAGAGCATATTATTATTCTGAATCACTTCCCCCTTGATTTTAAATCCGTACTTAGCTACCAGGATGAAGATAGGCAAGGAGGTTGAAGAGTTCTTGTATGGTGTCCTTCACTCACAGAATCAACTCACCTGGGCTCATAGGGGCTCACAGAGACAGAATTGACAAACCAGGGAGTCTGCATGGGGCTGCCCTGGGCAGGCTGCATTTGCATTACAGTTGTGTAGCTTGGTCCTCTTGTGGTACTCCTAACAGCAGGGACAGGGGCTGTTTCCAATGTTTTTCCAGGCTTTTGGGACCCTACTACTCATACTGGGCATACTGCCTTTCCCAGCCTTAATATATGGGCAGGTGCTTAGTCTTGCTGCCACGTGACATGCCATGTTTTTTTGATACTCATGGGGAGATCTGCCCTTTCCTGAACAGAAACAGAAAAGTGGATTGAAGGGTGGGAACAGAGGAGGCTGGGAAAATGGAGGGAAGGGAAATTGTGGCTGGCATGTAAAATAAATAAATTTTTTAAAAAAGATTTATTTTAGAAGACAAACCACAGTTACAAACTCATTAATTAATTTAAAGTCTTCAAAAAGACAGTAGAAAGCACACAAAATGTGCAAATTTGTGTATGAGCCAGAATATTATACATTATGGTTCCATTTTTCCCTAACGACATCCTTGTCGCTTTGGTAGAAAAGTACAGAATCATAAAATTAAATTTGGAAATTTGTAAAGCTGTGTGTTTATCAAGCATGACGAGTTTGTTATCTGAGTTAATAAGGCAATCAAACGTACCATGACTGTGGAGACATGCATGCAATGTTTTCACAGGGTTTTTCTTCTGGAAATCAAAAGAAGTGCACAATGTGGCCCAGAGTGCCTCTTTTCATGCAGAAGAAAAAAATATTTTATGAATATCTGATGTCACCAAATAAATAGAATAGTCTCTTGTGGAATAAAATACTTATCATGGCTGACATATTCTTTCCTTCACCTCTACCTTTGGTTCTAAATGAAGGGAATGTGTATAAAGTTAGAGAAGACTTCATTTATAAGTTTTTATTAATAAGCTGCATGTTGGAAATGAGCAATTAAAACATTTGATACATGACCCTAGGTTACAATGCTCGTATAATATTTTGATATGTTTGTGAAATGAAAACAGTAATAAGATGAAAAAACTATTTGCATTTGTATTATAATTTAAAGCTCAACGAATTCAAAGTCCCATATGTCTCATTCCAAAGGAGTCTTCAGCATGCGTGTGTGTGTGTTTCTCTACAGGTACCACATCATTGTCATCATCCTGGTGTACTGTTTCCCATTGCTCATTATGGGCATCACCTACACCATAGTTGGAATTACTCTCTGGGGAGGAGAGATCCCAGGAGACACCTGTGACAAGTACCATGAACAGCTGAAGGCTAAACGAAAGGTACTGTCCCACCTAACTGGTGCAGACTGGGTCCCTTCCGAGAGGGAAGGGAGAACCGCGTGGTGTCATTTGATACGATGTGCTTTTGTATCCTGTTTCAACCTTTCCAAATACCTTCTGTGTTCTTTTACATAATCTTTTTGTTAATGCTGGCCTCCTGCCGGATCTTGGCCCGGAAGATCTGTGCATGTCTGTCTGCAGTAGATGTTACGTCCTTACGGATGAGTTGTTTTGTTGCTTGCCTTTGTGGCTCATTCTGACTACTTCCCCCGAAACTGTCAAAGTTTTGCTTAGATGGAATCTAGCTGATTTTTATTTTTGCATGTGTAGCTGCTTCTTATGGTGCATGACCAGAGCTTCTCTTCTGTACTCTGAAATCTGCCCAAACTTGCCTTTATTCCCCGAGTGGCACAGCTCGTTAAAAGTTAAAATAATGGAAATTTGTCCTCCACCCTGTCTCCTGTCCCTCACTCTTCTACTCGCTTCTTCTTCCTCTTCCACTCCCCGTTCTTTTTCCTCACCTCCCTCTGTTCCTCCCTCCTCCTTCTTCTCCACCTTCTCCTCCTTCCCTCCCTCTATTCTTTCCCTTCTCTCTTTTACCTTCCCTCCCTCTGTTCCTCCTTCTCCTCTTCTCTTTCCCTTCTTTCTCCTTTGTTTGTTCTTTCCCTTTATCAGCAACCTTATTCACCTGCTTAAGGAATGAGTATTTCATTAGTGGTATTATACATGTCACTGAATGACTTGAAAAATTTGTTTCTGATCATTCACATTAAATATTAAAATTACTCAGAAATAGGCTTTTTGCATCATTTGATGAACATGTCAATCATAGGTATTTATTCCATTTAGGAGTGGTGAATCTATTTATTGGAATATTACCTACCTTATGAGAATCCCTTTAAAATCTTGCTATCTTAAAACATCTTATCTACTACTGTCTCATAAAAAAATGAATCCAAGTTTTAAAATATCATGTAACAAATGGCTCCATTTTGACACCACATCTTTTACTGACAAATGATGGTAAACAAGACACATCAACTTAATATACACAATCTTTTATATTTAAAATTAGAAAGTAAGACTGATATATTTCTGACTAGCTACAGATATGAAATATATATAATTTCTTTTTGTGTTTTTGAAAAAAATTCATCTTAAAAATTATATGCAAAAACAAACTATCCCTATAGCAACTGAGAAAAAAACCTAAGACAGGAAATGTTTAAACAGTATGCTCATTTTACAAATATCTTGATTTCCTCTGAAATCTTTCATTATTATTACTATCATCATCATTATCTTTTATCATTATTGGGGAATACCACTGTGTGTCACAGGCCCTGTATGGAAGTTTATAGAACAAGTTTCAAGAAAACCAAGTGTATTGTTATTACATGTTTTAATTTTTTCATATACATGTAATATTTTTTAGGAAAAAATAAAATTTCATATTTGCTCTTTTATTTTGTAATATAAAGTCTTACTGAGAACAAAGCCAAGAGGAAATTTGTTTTTTTCCCCTTTACCATTACTGGTAAAAATAATACATAAACATACCCTTGATTTCATTGTCTACAGTTAGTAGTTGGTACAATACCAACCAAACCTGGAACATGACTTTTCTAGAATATTTCAGAAAACAGGACACTTAAAAGTTATGATCCATTTATCTATTTCTGACTGAAATATGACATCCCAGTCACACGTACTTCATAGTCATATGTCATCTCAACCCTAGATTTCTTTACAGTTTATCCATGCTTCTAACTCTCTATAGTAATCCTCATTTTACCTAAATTTTAAAGTATAGACATCTTTTCATTTCTTCTTGTTTTAAAAATATGGCAGCTGAATTTATCTTTTCTTACACATAATAAGTGTGTATATATTTGTGTATATAAATGTGACTGACTTCTAAAAATGTATATAGAAATAAACACATCTTAAATATACTTAAATAAAATTAGCTAGCAGGCATGTTGATACCTGTAATCTCAGCACTTAGAAAGCTAATGTCAGAAGACAGCAAATTTAATGCCAGCCTTGTCTACAATGAGTTCAAAGATAGAAAAATTCCAAAAGAGAGACTGGAGCCATTCTTTCCATCTCTGTCTCCTATATTCTTTAGAGTTATGCATAAGACATTATATATTAATCCTTTGAAGAAAAGCCAATACATTGACTTTCTAAGTTTATGGGACCTAGTATGTTCGATACTTTAAATGACAAGAGATTTTTAGGTAAATTGGGATTAACCACCTCCTCTCAGTTTTTATACATAAATTATTTAAAGATATAAATGTTTAGAACACTGGCTGTAATCAACTGAGGGTAAAAGCCATTAGTCTTGAGAAACAAAGTAACACCCTCCCCCCAGAAACAACGCATCATGAACATTATAGTGTTGACTCAAAATTGGTCTATGATTCATGGACCTATGGAATTTAAAAAGATCGAAGGGGCACAGTAATGTCAGAAACTACACCAATAAAGCTTCACCATTATGACTGCCTAAAAAGGAGCTAAACAGGGACAATGAAAATAGACATGCTAAGGGGGGGGAGGGAGAGCCCAAGAGACCTCAGCACCGGAAAGAGGGAGAAATAGTCTTTCCCAGGAAAGAGCACACCAATTGATCATCCCATACCAAATGGTCAGCCCTGAAAACATAAAAATAACATTCTAAAGACTGAACATGCACACACGCACATGCACACACACGTGCACACACACACAAAACAATTAATGAAAAAGAACGTGGATTTGCAAGAGAGAAAAGAGGTATATATGGGAGAGTTTGGAAGTAGGAAAAGGAAGAAGAAATTTATATAATTATATTAATCTCAAAAAGTAGAAGACATAATAAAAAGAAGACACAAAAGAGAGCTAAAGAGCACTCTGTATTATTGTCCTAATATTTGAATCACATGTGAGAAACTGGACTTTAATGGAAGAAAAATGTAGGAGCAACACAACACATTATTAAACCTTCTTATGTATATTTTACAGTTTCAAAAAATTGATATACCTTTTAATGTAATTAAGTATGTCTCTAATTATAGTAAATATTCTGATTTAAAATTTTGTATGTTACACACATATTGGACTCCAGCACTTCAAGGAAAAGTATACTCAGTCAGATGCAAAATATATATATCAAACATGTAACAGAATTGCCAAAGTAGACTGCATTTCTTTTTCTGTTTTTACCTTCAATGTCTATTGGTTAAAAATCCTATCAAAGTTCTTTTTTCGAGTAATACAGACTATTTTGAACTCTACTATGATATATAATATTCATTTTAAAACTGAGGTGATATTTTTATAAAGTCTTAAGGGAGATAGCTTTCTTGCTATAGCGCCTTTTGTCAATATACCATAGAACTACTTCAATCCTATTGTGAGAATAATGTACTGCCTGGAAAAGTAAACTGAACCTTGTTTACTTTCTTCTACTAACTGGGAGACAGAATCATAGATTTTTGACTATTGAAATATTAACTAAAATGTCATGTATGAAAACTATTAAAAGTACTTAACTCCAACATAATTCACTTCATAAGTACGTAACTAAGCTTAAAAAATTATCTCTGCGCTACACGTGTGTATGTGTGTATGAGTGTGAGTATGTACACCTTGTATTGCATCGTGACAGTAGAGGTTGACACCACATCTCTTTTTCTATTACTCTTCACCATATTTTGGGAGAGAGAGAACCTGGAGCACTGGCTAACTACACTGTCTGGCCAGTGAATCCTAGGGTTCTCTTGTCTCTGTTGCCCAAATCTAGGATTACAGATGGCACATCTACCTGATCCCTTAAGTAGATTATGGAGCATATTCACCTGACTCCTTATGTGGATGTGGATGGTGGAGAACATTCACCTGACCCCTTATGTGGATGGTGGAGCACATTCAACTGGTCCCTTATGTGGATGATGGGGCACATTCACCTGACCCCTTATGTGGATGGTGGAGAACATTCACCTGACTCCTTATGTGGATGATGGAGCACATTCACCTGACTCCTTATGTGGATGTGGATGGTGGAGCACATTCACCTGACCCCTTATGTGGATGGTGGAG